CAAACAGTAAGTCAATTAGGAGGTGATTTTTAAAATCTATGAATGTAATGATACTGTGTAATTATCAGCCACTGGTTGATAAGAATAACATGTCGTGCATTCATATCATATTCGTATTCTTTCTGTGAACCTGTCAAAAATACAATCTATACTCAGTGTAATATTGGATTGTTTCATCAATAACTTGGTAATATCACTGATTTCCCCTTCCCCCCAAATAAAAATTTCTATTGTGGTATCATAATATATTGAAATTAGATAAAGTAATGACCTTAACCAGAGTTAAAGAATCCTAAGAATTATCCCCAAATCAGTGTCCAAATAAAGAACCGAGGCGTCAAGACAAATATACCATGCAGGAATTGAAGAACTCCAGAGACAATCCAGGCTTATGGTTTGATTTTCTGTTTGTATTTGTAACTTTTCTTTGAATGCTAAAGGAGAAACATAAGTGGAACGATTTCCAAAGTGCTAATGTGTGAATACCTGGAAAGTCCATGATTAGTCATAACGCTTCTATTCTGCTCACACAGTTTCTTCCTACCACAGACATTTGTAATTAGAACAGGGAGTAGTAGCATTACTTACCCCTGGAAAGAATGAATAAATGTCTGATCACAAAGCTCTCCTTACTAGTGAATACATTACAATTTATATTATAGTAATGGACAGGAACCCAAGTCATGGGCTGAGACCCACTGAGCTAGACTTCATGTAAACATGGAACAAAATGTCAGTCTCTGCTCCAAGGAACCCATTACTGTAATGGCAGGTGAGTTTTTGGAGTAAAAGGAAAATGAAGTTCTGTCTAAACAGGGTAAACAATGTCTTCTTTCTGTATTTCAGAATGGCATGGGTTTCACTCCATAAAGATGATTTACTGCGCCCAAAGATACGAAGTGCTTCACGTCTGCCATCCCAAAAACAGAGCAATTATCAAACACCTCCTCTGGAAGAGCTTCAGCGCCTGCTTTGGGCTCACAAACCTTCCACAGGCCACGTGAATGAAGTCTGGCCAAACCTCTTTGTGGGAGATGTGTAAGTGAGACAGTATTCAGTAGAGCCATTCAAAAGGGACCCAACTCAGATAAAAACTAGGAGATAAGTGGGGGCAGGTCTCTGAAATGCAATCCCTTGAGAATGAAAGGTTTAAAAATCAGCTGACAAGGTCTAAACCAGGGGGTGACAAGATCTGGCCTGCAGGCCACATCTGGCCCACTAGGCTATTCTATCCAGCCTGCGGGGCCCCTAAAAAATTGGTAAATTTACATTTATTTGTTCTTGGCTGCCTGTCAAAGCTGACAGGAGCCAGGGGCAGTAGGACCCAGGGGGAGCCCTCAGCAGAACTGAGCGCCCCACCCCCGTCCACCCCCTGCCATTTCACTCTCTTCCTGCCCTCCAGCACCTGACTGCATTACTGGACCAGGGAGCACGGGGCTGTACTGGTACATGTGTATAGGCAGGGGCAGTATATCTCTGTGCAGGCAGGGGTAGAGTGTATATGTGTGTGTGTGTTCACAGGGTGAGTCTCACACACACCCCACCATACATATGCTCCCACACCCTGCCTCACATTGCCATACATACAGACCCCCACACCCACACCCCCTCATACACCCTAGCCACCCTCCCCCCACACATCCCATACCCACCCACATCCCCCTACACACCTATATGCACCCCTCACAATATACAAGAGTAAGACTTTATTTTAACCTAGTGTGCAATCACCTCTATGTGCACTTCACAAACACATGTAAATAAGGACAAAAGCATTTTTTGAAATCAAATTAATCCATGCTGTAGATGTTTGCTTTTTAGAATATAATTTGGTATTTTTCTAGTTCTTAAGTTTGCAGAAGGTAAGATTCTGAATGATAGCCAGCATGGCTTCATCGCAGGCAGATCTCGCCTTATCAACCTCATCTCCTTCTATAACCAGGTAACTCACCACCTGGACATGAGAGAGCAGGTTGACATTGTATACCTTGTCTTCCAAAAAGCCTTTGATCTAGTATCCCATGATGTCCTTATGAGAAAATTGGAGGATTGTGGGCTTAACTCCAAGACAGTCAGGTGGGTGAGGAACTGGCTGCAGGATAGGACCCAGAGAGTCATAGTGAAGGGATCTGTGTCATCCTGGCGAGAAATGGGCAGTGGCATCCCACAGGTCCAGTACTTTTCAACATCTTTATTAACAATTTGGTGAAGAGCTCACTGGCAAAGCTCATGAACGACACCAAGTTATAGCGAAGTGTGGTCACATTTGAAGATAATCTACAGATACAGGCAGACCTAGATGGGCTGGCAAGTTGGGTGGATCAGAATCTGATGAAGTTCAATGTTGAGAAATGTCAAGTGATCCACCTTGGGACGAGCAACCCCCAACACACCTACAGGCTTTGTGGCACCACACTGACTAGCAAATGAAAGCAACCTGGGGGTAATAATAGACCACGGTATGAATATGACCCTCCAGTGCAGTGCTGTAGCCAGTGGGGCAAACAGTAATCTAGCATACATCGATCGATGCATCTCCAGCAAAACCAAGGAAGTGATTCTTCCACTCTACTCAGCACTAGTGAGACTGCAGCTGGAGTACTGCATCCAGTTTTGGGCATCACACTTTAACACGGATGTGGACAAGCTTGAGAGAGTCCAAAGAAGAGCCACCCATATGATCAGAGTCTTACACAGCAAGCCATTCCAGGAAAGGCTGAGGGATCTGGGACTCTTCAGCCTGAAGAAAAAAAGGCTGAGAGAGGACTTGGTAGCAGCTTACTGCTACACTAAGGGAGTATACATCAAGGGCTCGGTGAGCAACTGTTCACCAGGGGACCTGAGGGGAAAACTGGGAGTAATGTTCACAAACTCCTGGAAAATTGATTCAGGCTCAACATTAGGAAAAAATTCTTCAGAGTCAGGGTGTCCAGACTGTGGAATAAGCTTCCTCCAGAGGTGGTGCAATCACCTACCCTGGAACTATTCAAGAGGAGACTGGACAGTCACCTTTCTGGGGTCACCTGACCCCCAGTTATCTTTCATGCTTGGTGCAGGGGGCTGGACCCAATTATGTTCCAAGGTCCCCTTCAGCCTTACAATCTATGAATCTATGAAATGGCAAAACCCCTTGCTGAAAGGAGTACTTCTGGGGACAAGGGGAAGGACTTTGGGTGGCATAGGTCAGGGGTTAGGGAGCAGGACTTCCAGTCACAAAACGGAAACCAGGGGGCGGGTACCTGTCAAGGGGCAGGGCTACCCATGTGGCCCTCAACAGCTTGCCAAAAATCAGTAAAGTAGCCCTCCACCCGAAATAATTGCCTGCCCCTGGTCTAAACCCTATGTCTGGCTCAATGGTACTTACGATCCAAGGCAGTGGGGTGGTGAAGGCAGCCTTATACTCCTTCATGCCCCTTCAGTGAACATGGGTCTTTCCTCAGTATTGGTGCATGCATCAGTAGCTCAGCTGAAATGGTGAGAGAGACTGGGGCAGCCGCCCTGGCCTTCTGGTAGCCAGGGTTTGAAGCAGCACAAAAAGAGCCACCACCACATCTGGCAGGTGGCTGTACCATTGCCACAAAGAGTGCAGCAGCCAGTGCTCCCTCATGTACCAAACCTCCCCTGTTATACCGCTGCACTACATCACTATGTGTCAGTGCAGTAGCTAGTACAATTTTGGTGCTCAAACAATATTATTCATCCTGTTTTCCCTTGAGCCATTAGCAGAGCCAGTTGCCTGTAGCAGTGAGCTCTTGATCAATATCTGATCAGCGATATATCTCACCTATACAGACAAAAATCCAAGTCAGTCTTGCTAGTATAGATGGTTGGGAAACATTTCCAATTTCCCCATGAAAATGTTTGGCCAAAAATGAATATTCTCCCCTCCCAACAGCACCCCTCCCCCAAGTTTAGGTTTACAATGAAAATAAATGGTGAAAATGGAAAAATTTCTGCAAAACCTGTATTCTCAAAGAGCCATTTTTACATTAAAAAAGACAATGTTATAGAAAACTCCTGACCAGTTCCAATGGCTAGACAGCACCTAGCACAATTTTGCACTATATTTTTAATCCTTAGAATAACACAGCCACATGGCAGCCCCTTCTTTTATATTTTGTTCAAGGTTTAGGTAGGGCTGCAGAAAGAAAAATGCCTGCAGCACACCCTGAGTAACCCAGCATTCCCTCTTGCAGGTATACAGCTCGTGACAAAGATCAGCTGCAACACATGGGCATCTCCAACATTGTGAATGCTGCCGCAGGCAGATTTCACATCAACACTGGAGCCAAGTTCTACAGAGACCTGCCTGTGGATTACTATGGAATAGAAGCAGATGATGATCCAAATTTTGATCTCAGCATTTACTTCTATCCTGTTGCTAGGTATATAAGAGCTGCACTAAAGTCTCCAAGAGGTAACACCACCAGTATCCATATTATATTACTTTAGCACAAATCAAGTCATCAGCCCAAACCAGTTCCTTATGAGAACTGAAATACCCAATCCACTCAGTGACCCAGATACCACCAGATGCACATAGCTAATCAGATACCACAGCTATCTCATCAGCTATAAAGAGAAGATGAGCAGCTTTGTACTCAGATTTCAGCTCTGCCAAGAGAAGGAGACACACAGTTTTACTCCCTTTGGAATCTATTTCTCTATCCCCTACTCTGCTTACAACCTACTCCTCATAGATGACCAGGTCCAAAACATACTTCCAAGATTTGCACTGATCGCTGTAGGGTTTATATCAGGTCAAGCTCCCAGAATATGGTATTTAGAGATCCAAATTCTGGACTCCAGGACTCAAGCAGAGTGGATGGGTTGTGTACTATGGAGAAAAAACACTGGCAAGAGCTGGTGTGACTACCACTAGATGACAACACAGGGAAAGGGACCTTTTTAAGAGTCATTGTGTTATAATGAGCTGCCTCAATATCTAACAGTTACAAAAATATCTGTGCCTAGTTATTGTGGAGATTCAGTGATCAACAGCCTTCTTAATGGTTCCTATCACTTGTGGAGTTATCTTTCACCGGGGTTCAGATTGAAGCATCAAGAGGCATTAGATTACCATTGCTAAAAAATGTACATGTGTTGTTAGCTCCAGATTACAACTTCCTTCTGTATGGCCATTTCTAAGTTCTTATGTTTAGGAGTAAACATCAGCAGATTTATAGAACCAGAAGTCAAAATTTACGCCCACCTCGTTGCCCCCTCCCATCCCTGACACACATAAGAAAACAGATAGAATTCTTGCTTTCCATAAGCATCTTCTGTAATGCAAGCAAACCAGTGTTGTGCTAGCATAACAATAAGAAGACTAGAAGATATATGCTAGGGAAAATTAATTAAAAAGAACTGGTTTTTTTTCCAAAACTTCAGATGGGTTATCAAGATTGCAAGGAGGTGATAGAAATGTTGCCACTTCCTGTTCAGCTTTGGTCTCTTTACATCCCGTAGTGGAAAGGAGCTTGCATTAACTTTCTGCTAGGACTGCCTCCGAGTCAGCTATCTCTGGAGCCAGAATGCTGTGCCAGAGGTGTAGACTGCACAACAAATCTGGCCTATTAAGTGCAAATCTGTAGTGGAACAATTATTCATTGTGCCATAAAACCTTAATTTTCATGCTCAAAATCCAGTGATCAAAGACTTATATAGAGGACAGCAATGCACCTAAAGCCTTGTTCTGGGTCTGTTATTGTGAATTTTTGCAACAAATATTGGCTTAACAAAAGCAGAGAAATAAGAGCAATTATAAACAGTTGCCTTTGACTTCTTAATGGAAAACTGAGATTCACGTATGTAATCAAAAGCATCAAAGTTCAGTGAAAGACTACTTCCTACTGCAGCTTAGGCTATTTAAAGTTGAAGGTAGTACTGGAGAAGCTTCATGTAGAGGGAGAATCCAGATCACCTTCTGATATAGGGCAAATACTAAACACAAAAAGGGGAGACAATTTTACCCGCAAAGGAAAAGCAAAGTATTGGTGGGTGCATGCATGGACAATGAAAAGGCAAAATTTAAGAAAGTAGGCCCTATTGCTACAAGATAGAAATGCAGTATAGGTACGCAGTAAAAGTAGATGAAGTGTTCACAGCCAGAATGGATATTTTATTCCTCTTCTTATGCCTACTGATAATACTTTGCTGAACTCCCCAAGTCCATCTGGCAGCACGAGTCCTGGGAATGAAAAGAAAGCCAAATTCAAATACATACAATCCAGCTGTTGCTGACATTCATTGTTTTAAAGAGAGGGGAACCATTTGGAATGTATGTGAAAAAGATGCTCTGGAAGCATAATTCCCTGTGCTACAAAAACTTAGCAGTGAAATACCAGAGGTCTGTGTAGATGAAAAGGGATAAGGGATTTGTTATGCACATCATCTAGAAGAAGGGAAAATAAGCTGCATTTATTTAAAATAAGTGATGCAGAACAATATATATGCACCAGGTGGTATGAGATCCATTCATTTAAAAGTCATGATGTAAGAAGGTACTTTTTCTTGATTGAGAAACCATTCAAGAAAATGCCCACATAATTACAGCCAGCTAGCACAATAACGCTTTTTAAAAGGAATTTTATTAACTTACTCATCTGGGAAGATACTGGGTCAAGCTTAAGAATGTACAAAGCAAAAACACACTTTTTAAAAAATAAAAAGTTGGAACTCAAGTCCTTTCTTCTTAGTATGACATGAAAGCTATACTTCTCCTTATACCTGAAGTCAGGCATAAAGCCACTGTACCTCCAGCAGCTTCAACAGGCTTGCTCTGGATTTACACTAGCATAACTAAAGCAGGATAAGGGTTTTGTTTTTAAAGCAATTCCACTGCTTCCCTGATACTAGAACCTAATGATGGACTGCTGTGAGTATTTTACCCCTAAATAGAAACTATTGTCTTTATCTCCTTCTCACCCTACTATTTTGGAGCATGGTGGCTAACGTTCCACCTGTTGACCTCAATGTGCAGAGTTTTCATTACCATACAGAATAAGGGATTCTGAGGCTGCCACATGACCATAATGAACTTTTTGGGCTCATACTCCGCTTGAAAACCACCCATCAGGAGATATGTCACCTTTGGCTTCAACTGACAACATAATGACAGAGCAGCTTGAGAATCCCCATTCTTGGATCAGCAAGATCCAGAAGTGAGATAAATTACTTCCAGATAAATTAATTCATACAGCCATACTAATTTAGATATTTCTAATCTGTGATCCATTACTGAACTTGTTTACGTGAGACAGAAGTCACTAGGAAAGAATGACACTATGAATATTGATTTTGGCCCCTTGCATGGGTCTGTGTGCAATTTGAATTTTTTCAGAATCTAACTAAATTCAAATACAAATCTGCATATTTTGATAAAGTCTGTGGTGGGAACAAAAGTAATTTGTAAACACAGATGAGAGAAGGTTATGGAAAATTATTAGACTAACAACATGCAAACAGAAAGTTTTGCAAATAGAGAATTTTTCTGTTATTGATCTCTGAACATATTTAAAACAGGCAGATGAAAAACCATCCATTAACTCATTGAAGTGTAAGGCATATATAGAAGGCCTTACTTTGAGCACTGGATGGGTATAAATGCAAAAGCTGATCTCATATTAAAGAAGGCAGGGTGGCAATTGCTTTAACTGGGGTGCAGACAGAAGTGACATTTCTTGTACAATTGGCCTCCTGAAAGTGCTCTATACCCATGCCATGACAGAAGTGCATGACTACAGAAGTGTGTGGCTGCTTAAAAAGTGACCAACCACGTGACAAATTAACCCTCATCTAATGAGGGATCAGATGAAGGTGCTCCCAAGTGGAGTGCCTTAGGGAACATGTGTCAGTCCCTCATGCATCAGGGCTATCTGCAGGAAGGGAAGGGGAGAAGGGAGAAGAGGAAGCTGCAGGCTGGGGTTTGCCAAGCTTGAGATGGGGGATGGTGTGGATTGGAGCCGTCCCACCTTGTGG